GCTAAGACAATGAGAGACTAAGCGCGGAGAGGAGAGTATGAGGCGAGAGAGCGCAACAGATGAGAGGGCGCCAGACAACAGCCTGATAAAGAAAAAATTGCAGCTGCAGCAGCTTACTTTGCAAGGCCCTAGCGCTCTTGTCGGTGATTTCCGTGCACGGGAATGCCACATCTGTGATTGTCCTCTAGGGGTCTATCCTACAGACTGAAGAATCGTTCTGATACCTTCTGCCTGTGCTGTGCCTTTGAGTTTCTCAAGCCTCATTGGGATCTGATTGCGACCCGCAGCGCCCCCACCCACTGCGCTTTCTACCCAACGTTATCAAAAAGTATCAATGAATATCACTTCAATAATAGAATAAAATGATGTACCGGCCATTGTGAATTGTGCATATGAGTTCAAACTTTGCAACCCCACAGATCGATCGCTCTAACCCTACCCTACACTCTTACCCCCGGGTTGACAGAAGCCTTGTAACCCGACAAGAAGTCATTGGAGCAAATTAATAACATTGATATGAAAAGAGCTTGAAGATAACATCAAATGGCCTCATATTGCGATGTCCTTGAAAAAAGTTTGAAAAATAGCCTAAGCCAGACATCGGACATGGATAGGTATAGCCTTGACGCTGTTTACTCTACTGCTAATCGATTCAACCAGGTCCTAAGTTCTTCAGCCTCAAGGACTCGTTAATCGATGCTAGAATTATTCTCGAATGAATGAAAACATAAAAGCGGCCTTTGAGACATTTTTCGCTCTCAGCGACAAAGAGCAGGGCTAAAGCCAGGAATAGGCATAACCTGCATAAGTACGCGACAACTAAAACTTCGACAGCCTAGACCCAAAAATGGTAAGAACAGTTCAGGTGCCTAAACTGAATGCCTGAAAGTGGAATTAGGGCCAACCGTGCGTTCCGCAGTTCCCTACGGGGGGGGGTGCGGGAAGGGGGAGCCGTACGGATACGTTTTGAGCTTTTCAAAGGAAGGGCCATAGTTGGGGTCAGCGAAGGTCAAACGTTCAGCAGTTGTGGGACCTGATACGGTCTTGGTTGCAGAATAAGGGGGGTCTCTTTGACAAGGATTCTAAAAGATTTCTGCTGAAATTCTAGGGAGGAAGTATGAAATGGAGAAAAACTAGAACAGTTACATTTATTCAGTCAAATTGCCCCTCCCACATCCCAACTCCTCTTACTTTTGCCAAAATGGCCGTC